AAAGATCTTGTTGATTTGATGAAGTAAAAAATGAAGTCAAAGGCTACTTTGTTGCAGTCAAAGGTCACTTTGATAAAAGGGTAGAGTGATTAGTAAGTCTGCATCTTTATTTAGGTATAATCATTTTTATCTCTCTGCTGCATGAAGTTTTCTTCATTTAAAAGATTTTGCAAATGCCTCTAAAACGTGTTTAAACGGTTAAAAACAAAGTATTTTGTTAAAAAGTTTTTAAAGTAACTATTTTAACTAATAGTATATGAGTTTTATCAACTAAAATGTTCTTAACACTTTTGTAACAGGTTTTTAACTGATATGTTTTCGAAATAATCGATTGTTTTCATTAGAAGAAATTTTGAAAACCTTCTGCCAGTATTTTAACTGATATAGAATTGATATAATCGATTAAAATGACTTAGTATATTTTGAAAAGTGTTCTGGCAGAATTTTAATCAATACAAACTCGAAATAATCGATTAAAATAACTTGAAGTGTTTTGAAAGTTGTTCTGTCAGTATTTTAATCGATACAAATGCGAAATAATCGATTAAAACAACTAAGAGGTTTTTCCAGGATGTTTTAATCGATTAAAACAAGCATGCTATCAGTTAAAATAACTTAGAAAGTTATATGAAATCTTTTGGCAGAATTCTAATCGATTAAAATGTGTTTCAATCGATTAAAATAACTAAGTAAACTTTTTCCAAAGTGTTTTAATCGATTAAAACAGATTGTTATCAGTTAAAATCACTTAGAAAATTTTATGAGAATGTTTAGCAGTATTTTAATCGATTGAAAGACGAAACAATCGATTAAAACAATTTGAAAGATTTTTTACAAAGAGTTTTAATTGATATAAATGTTGTCGTATCAGATAAAACAAATCTGGAAAATAATCAAGAACATTTTAACAGATTAAAAGAAGTTTTAACAGATTAAAACAAGACTTTTAACAGATTAAATAAACCAGCAGTTTGGAAAATCTTCTATAAAAACATAATTGCTTGAACCTTTTAAAACACACCTTTTGACAATCAATCAAGCAATCATAAGTGCTACTTTCAAGAGAAAATCGCGCTAGTTTTGTGAAGTTCTTAGAAGTTCTTTCTTGAGGCAATATTTTCATTCTTTTGGAGAAGAAACTCATTCTGCAGAGCTGCATAAACCTGGTTTGGGTGTTCTAGTTTCTTCTCTTTGTTTCTTTACTTTTCTTTTCTGTATTGTGGGTGCCTGGAAGTGCGGGTACTGGTTTCTGTGGCTAGAATTTGGCTGCAGGGTTGGTCAAGAACTGGAAATTGGTTCTTGGTGAAGGTTTAGGTGCAAGGACTGGAATTTTGGTTCTTGTGGTAGATTGAGTGTGGGATTGAAGTTGTAATCTGTAAAACGTTCAATCTAGTGGAACTCAGCTGAAATTTGGCTGGAAACTGGACATAGCCCTGGGATTGGGTGAACTAGTATAAATCTTGGTTGTATCTTTCTAAACCTTTCTCTCTTTAATTCTGTCACTGCCTTTACTTTGATTGTTTGCTGTATTTGATTCAAGATTTGGTCAGAACTCTTAATCTTTGAAATAGATAATCTGTAAATCTCGAAAAACTTTCAAAGATCAATTTACCCCCCTCTTGATCTCAGCCTACATTACTAACAATATTAAATGCACAAATTATGATACATTTGATTAAGTCATCTTACCCATATCTTTTTTATTTGTTTTATGGAGGAGGACTCCAATTCTAACTTCCTATTTTAGTTTTTGAGTTTATCAAAATTCCTATCATTTTTTAGATCACACTCTAATATTTTATCACTATTATATCTAAACATTTAATCACATAAATCAAAAGGTAAAAATAGAAAATAAAAATTGACAAAAAAAAAAAAACATGAGAGTTAAACTAACATTATTGACAAAATGACTAAATCATTAAACAAAATAGATGAGTGCACCACAAATCGTGAGGTGAATTTGGTCTAGAGATAATACAATTGAAATAAACAAAATCCATTGAGCAAACAAATCCTTGTGTAGTGAAAAATGATAGAAATTTAAACACTAGAATAAATTTGCTAAGAGAAATGAGAGTTTGTTGAGCAGAAAATGGGTAGTGTTCAAACAAAATGAAAGAACAACACGAAAACACTAATCCATTAAGCGCAAAGAATAATCGCTAAGCGAATTAGTGATAGTAAACAAAAAAAAATTATATTTTTAAGTATGTAACATAAACAGGCATAAGAAAAATGAAAAGAAACAATAATAATTATGTCCAATAATACAATGATTTCATTTTGATCAAACACATTTTTCATCTAAATGTGATCAAACAGTTCAATACAAGGACTAATATGCAATAAAGAGAGGAAACCTATATCATATTCTTGAGGAGCATTGATTTATTATAGTAAATTTAGTCTTCAATCATAAAGAGTTGAAATAGTGGGATTTTCATGATTTTGAGTCTAAATATGTAATTGAAAAACAATTAAACTATAGATCTAATAAAAGCAATAAAGGAATGATGAAAATTGATAAAATCTATGGATAATGTGGTTAGTTCTCAAATCATCATCTTATTCCATTCATTATCACAAGACCTAAATATAACCACAAGATAAATCTATAAGAATTATAATCATTCATAATCAAATTCATTAGATCTAATTGATCCATAATATTTAATTAATCTAAAAAACACAAATAAACTTATAAGAAAACTTATAAAAAAAGAAACCACTTAAACTTAAGAATTTATTTATGATGTAATTAATCAAATTCGACTAAACAATCTCATTTACATTAATTGTAATGTATTATAAATGTTTATAAATATGTAATTGTGTATTTTTCTAATTTGACTGTTGTCTATTTTGATCATTATTTCCTTTGTATATATCTTTTTTGCCTAAAACTTGTTTTTTATTCCAAGGTGTCAATTAACATATATGGAACTTAGTATTTAGAGTTCAAAGCTTTTTTTCATAATTTTAAAATTTCATATAGAAACATAGAATTTTCGTATACAAGATTACAATTTTTTAATTGGACTTATGAGACCCATTTTAACTCAAACTTAAGCCCATTTGTTTCCCTCTTTCAAAGCTGTAAACACTTTAGAATTTGAAGAGACACAACTTTTACATAATTTTTATTTTTACATGTTGTAAACACTTTTCATTTTCATTTTTGTTTTGCATGTTTGGATTTTCTCCTCTTTTCTATTTTTATTTTTTCTTTTCATATTTCTTGCATTTCTGAATGGAGAGTGTATCAATGGAAGGATAAACCGTTTCTTTAATCTATGAATTAAATATCTTATGAATTGTGAAATTGACTTTTATCTCATAAATTTACACGTTTTGAATTTGTTTATCTTTCTCTAACTCTAGAATTACAAATTGTAATTATGATTTGCTTTGTTATGTTTTACAAATTAAATTGATTTGGATTGAAATGTGATTTAATAATCAATTGCAAGTAAGATTGAACAAGTACTCAAATTCATATTGATATTTCATTAAACAAAATGATATTCAAATTCATATGGTTTTCAATTTCTAAGTTGATGTTTTAATTTCATTTCTTCAAAATCGTTTTAATTTTTCTACGTTTAAATTTGGTTTTAATCTTCCTTTCTTATATTTTAATACTTTTCAATTTGACTTTCAACTCAGTTTTCTGCCTGAATTTGGTTTGTATTTATATTTTAATTGTGTTTAAATTTGAATATGAAAATCCCCAAATTGAATTGAATAAGAAGAATATTAGAAAATAAATACAATTGATATATATGATTTCAAAATTTCTTGAAAAACTTAAAATACTTTGAATTTATTACGATAGTGAATATCATCAATCCATATTATATTTTTGGAAGATCCAACTTTTGGAAAACGTATTTCAAATTAAACAATTTAAAAAATTATATGAATATTTTAATTTCGAAAAAATTTGAACAATCTATAAAAGATATGAATAGAATAATCCAAAAATGTTCCAAATAATGTAATCTATAATATGCTGGATTATAGAATCTGAAAACATTTTAAATAATTGTGTGCGAAAATCTTCAGATTATTTGATCCGAAAAACATAAACCGAAACAAAGCATCATACAAAGTCAGAAAAAGAAACTTCTAACCTATTAGGTATGAAGGAGGTGTTGCTGGGCGAGAAAATGGAAGTGTAGAAAGAGACATGAAACATAAGAACCAACATATGATTGAAGGGTTAATAACTAAAGGATTTCAATCTTTTTATATAGGTTACGAGGGTGTATAAAAATAAAGTACGTACGGGCTAAAACATAAACCGAAGAAATATTCTTACATGCCTCAACTTGTACAGAAATTAATATCAAATTTATAAAGAAACTCAACTTTTTCTTCGTACTTTTGTCTTCAAAGTGCTTACTTAGAGGTTTGTGCAAACGAATCCGTAGACAGCAAAATTCTATGATCCAACGAATTCGTTTGAAAACGAAATGCATTTATGTATGTTCAAATTATAAAAATAAGGCTTGCAACTTAGTGTCAACAAACCAGATTTCTTCTTTCATGAAAATTAAAATTAATACTTCATTTTAGCTTAGGAGATTAATAGTAGAACAACTTTATACTTGCATAAGTTTAACGTAATAATTACTAATTTAAATTTAGAAAAATACAATGCAAGTTGATTTTACAGGGTATTTCAGAACAAGGAGAATCAGTTGGTCGAAGGGAGAAGAGAACAATAATGAAATTGAGGGTAATGTATTTATAATTTATAGTCTGAAAAAGACCATGCGAGAGTACCAGATTGAGTTGGAAGCAACTGATAATCTCTTAATTTTTCGTTCTACACAACAATGAGAAAAGAAAATGTATATACTTTTATGTCAACCAGACTCCGAGGTGCATGAGCTGAGTTCCTTCATGTGATAAACATGAAAAATTACTATAGGAACATTTTCAATCTGGCCGTACTAGTTATGTTTGCTGCGTGTCTCTAGCATCTTCTTCTGCTACGATCCAACTGGAGCACTTTTAGCTTTGGCAGCAGCAGCAGTAGCTGTAGCTGCGGCTGTGGCAGCAGCCGCAGCAGCAGCAGAGGCCGGGTTGCTGGATGATGGAGGCACCGTGCTTAGTTGTGAACTGCTCTGAGATTCAACTGTTTGTGGCTGCGGCTGCTGTATCTGAGATCTAACTTGGGTAAGCAATGTCTTTATCTGAGTTCCTGTGAGGGTCTCGTGCTCCAAAAGAGCATTTGCAAGTGCATTAAGCTCCTTGTTGTGAGTGGTCAGAATGGCTTTTGCATTGATGTAAGCCCTATCCAGGTATTGCTTCACCTCTTTCTCAATGAGAAGCCTTGTCTCTGAGCTCATGCTCCTCCCATCATCTTTGTAATCATGAGAAACTAGTCCAACTTCATTGCCCATGCCATATTTGGTAACCATTTGCCTTGCTAACTTAGTTGCTTGGCTGATATCTGAGGATGCACCAGAACTGACCTCATTTTCTCCAAAAATTAGCTCTTCGGCAACCCGGCCTCCCATGCAAACATCGAGCCGGGCAAGCATCTGTTTACGGGAAATGCTGGTCTCATCCTTATCGGGTAACTGAGTAACCATGCCGAGAGCTGAACCACGGGGAACAATAGTTGCCTTATGAACAGGATTGGCCCCATCAGTGTGAATGGCAACAAGGGCATGACCACCCTCATGGAAAGCAGTCCTCTTTCGTGACTCCTCAGATATGAGAGCTGACTTGCGTTCACTTCCCATCAGAACCTTGTCTATTGCATGCTCTATATCGGCCATGGTAACAGCTTTAGCACCATCAATAGCTGCCTTGATAGCAGCCATGTTAACCACGTTTGCAAGGTCAGCACCAGAGAAACCAGGTGTTGCTCGAGCAAGAATCATTAGATCAACATCATCAGCCTTCAAAACCTGTATTTGATTGGAGACAAGAATCCAGCAAAAGCAAGTAGGTAATGCTGATCAAAGTTATTCATGTAATGGATATAACAAATGCATTCTTATGTAAACTTCAAAATAAATAGGCCTGTAACGTTGTAGTGCAACAGGCCCAACAATGGATCAGGTAAGGATTGTTCATGCTTTATAAAGATTGCATTGGACATTATTTCTAACGGCTACAATAATGTTTTGCTCATGCTTTTTGGTTAACTCCTTCATAAGTGGTCTTTCTCGAGACAATGGCAATAAACTCCGATAGGTTATAACAAAGGTGGGCTAGGGGTCACCACAACGAAGGTAGCTTTCCAAAACACACCCTCACGCTCAAAGTTACAGGCCTACAACATGGAATGCAGGTGACCTAACAATAAATCTAGGATAAACTTTGATACTAATTTAGAATTTGGGCTTAGGATCTAATTCAATCCCACAAAACTGATTAGAAATGTAAAGACCACCTACCCAATTTGACTTGGTTATAAATCCCGTGAGAGTCAACAACTTGGCGACTGGACCCTACAATTTTTCACTCACCCTCTCTAATCATCCCCTGCATTGGTAATCTTTTCCAAGACATTGGCTAAAGATAGCCATAGAGTTGAGACAAAAGAGCAATGTGTGGGTTTGTTGAAGAAGTTGGATACTAATGGATGTTTTAATGATGGCTTCGTGTCAGATTTGAGAGTAGATATTTTCCGAGTTGCATGGCTTGAGACATTGAGAAAGGTGTTAGTTGCTTGGAAGAAATATCCATGATATTTCATCATGGTACACGGGTAAAATTCATTAAGGGCGGTGGCATATAAAAAATAGTTTGGAAAACAGAAATTTAGAGACAGAACCTATAGGTTTTAACAATATTGTGGGGAGTTCTACAAGGGAGATTGGCTGATTTCTATGGGCTACAAGGTGATATGATTTAGAGGGACCACTATAATTTGAAGTTTTTTTCTGTAATTTTTATTTTTAAATTAAGTGATTTGAAATATCATAAGTATGGTTAGACCAAAAATCTCAAGAGAATATGTTTGTTCATATTCTCATGGTGGGAAATAATGAAAATTAAAAGCAAAATTAACGGGAATTAATTAAGCAATTAGTGAGATTTATTATTGCAATCTAAAGTTACAATAATTTGGCCTATAAATAGGTTATTTATAATGCAATAAAGGACACATTTGAATATGGAATAAAATTTGAGTTTTCTCTTAGGGAAAGTTTTATAGTGTTCTAAGTTGTATGAACTAATTTTCAATCTTATTAGGGTAACCTGTGGTGATCATTTGTGATTATGGTAAGATTGCTAAGCCATTGACAGATTTGTTAAAGAAAACGAACTTTCACTGGACTAAGCAAAGCACTACTGCAAAACAATTACATAAGACTGTCACTTTAGCCTTGTTTTAGCAATGCCAGATTTTTTCAAAACAGTTTGAAATTGAGTGTGATGCATCATGGAAGGATGTCCGGGCAGTGTTAACACAAGACCAAAAGCCCATCGCGTTTTTCAGCAAAGGCTTCCCTGATTTGAGCCTCACAAAATCCATTTATGAGAAGGAATTAATGACTTTGGTTTTAGCCATCCAACATTGGCACCCATACCTCTTAGGAAGGAAATTCACTATCTTTACTTATCAACAAAAGCTTACAATATCTATTGGAACAACGGATTACCACCCAAAACCAACAAAACTAGTTAGCCAAGCTTCTTGGGTATTATTTTGACATTGCTTACAAAGTGGGAGCTTCGAACAAAATGCTTTATCTGCCACATCAACACTACACCCTGGAACACAACAGGCTACACTACAAGGGTAGGTTAGTTTTATCCGTCACATCCTCATGGATTCCCAAATTATTACATGAGTTTCATGCTTCACCTACGAGTGGACAATCTGAATTTTATATAAGTTACAGGCGAGTGGCTCAATCTCTTTATTGGCTTGGCATGAAGAACAATGTCACCCAAAATGTTGCATCTGGTCACATGCATCAACGTAGCAAATATTTGGCCTCTTGTCTGGTTTACTACAACTGTTACCCATTCCAAATGCTATCTGGCAAGAATTGTTTACCCGATAGGGTACTCAACTAAAAATGTCTACAGCATACCACCCGAAAACTAATGGGCAGAGGTTTTAACTAGGAAACTTATCTAAGGTGTTTTAGTTCCGAACAACTTAAGGTTTGAGCTGATTTTATTTCATGGACAGAATATTGGTATTGTCAGCACAATGTACGCCTTTTGAAGTGGTTTAAGGTAGACCTCCACCATCTTTGACACGGTTTATTTTGGCAGAAACACAGGTAGAGGTTGTGGCCCAGTATCTCAAAGATAGAGATGAAGCATTAAAACAACTAAAGTTTCACTTAACACGTGCACAAGATCAGATGACTCAATATGCCAATACACATAGGAGATCGGTGGAGTTTCAGCTGAAGAATATATCTATTTGAAGATTAGGCTGCATTGACAAATATCCATGCCCACCAAACTGCGCCCTAAACTTTCAGCAAGATATTATGGTCCCTACCAACTCCTCAAAAAGATAGGAGCAGTGGCATATAAATTACAATTACCAATAGCAGCTTGGATACATCCTATATTCCCTGTCTCTCAACTTAAGAAGGCTTTGGGCAATCACATAGTGGAGGCAAGTCTACCAGCAAAGTTGCAAGCTCCACAGGAACCCTACCAACCTGATGAAGTTCTGGACAGCTGGGTGATCTCCCAAGATGGCACTACCATATCTCAAGTTGTCATTGCAAGGAAAACAACATGAAGATGCAACATGGGAAGACTCCACCACCATTCCGCAATTTCCAGACATTCTCACCTTGAGGACAAGGTCGTTTCAACCGAGGAAGGTATTGTTAGACCTCAAGAACCACATGATACAAATAGGATGTGGAAAGTATATTATAGGAAGATGGGTGAAAATAGGAATTAAACATATCTTATTAGTTAGGTTTTATGTAAGAGTTAGTTGGTTAAGTTGTTTGCACCAGTTTTTCTATAAATAAGATCTTTGTTTGGGAAGGGGGGAGACATTGTTTGTAAGATATAAACTGGACAGATTCCAGTGTGAAAGGAGTAGTCTCCTTTGTGTACTTGTTTTCTTGCACATTCAATAAAATTCAGGGACAAATAAAGCTCTTTCTTCTCTCGTTGATCAGAGGTCCTAACATGAACAAAGATGCCAGAGAACAATGTTTCAGAAACTCCACCAGAGTGCCATGGGTTGGCGGAAAACTCCATGGGAGTACCATGGGTTAGCCAGAAACACCCTTGGGAGCTATGGACCAGAAGGTTTGCGTCAAAGACAGTAGAGACCTTGGTTTAGCCTTGTAAGTGGAAATACAGTTGGATAAAATATAAAAGAATGAAATTGCAAGATTAACCACCCCCACATAAGGGGTTGTGTAGTGACCCTGGATGGTCAAGATAACATTGTAATTCACCCAACTCCAGGTATTACACTAAACTGAAACACAACATGCTCTGGATAGAGGCACAATGCCGCTTTCGCACAATACTACAGGTCGTGATAAACTCCTATGTTTCATATTGGAACCCTCGTCACAAAAAAATTTAGATGGAGAAGTCTATACTGAAGTTGGGTATAATCAAACCTGGTGGAAGTGGAAGTGCTTTTTCTAGTCCTATAATTCTAATCAATGTTCAAGAAAGATTTATCATGGTGAATGTGATCTTCATGTAATAGAAACGAAATTTTAAAAAAAAAAAAAAACAATTTTACAGCGAGTAGTAACGGTGGAAAGTTGGTAAGGAAATCAAATTCAACAGGATCCAATAGCAAGGAATGGGACTTGGGTCACACATTAGAAGTACAAAATTATAATTTGGGGTTCATAAGGTTGTGGGCTGTCTTAATACAACGGGTAACTTCTTTGGTGTGGTTATCCCAAGTTTCTTATCAATATATATAGATTATCACTTGAATTATAGGGTTCCTATAACTCTTGAACCAGAATTGCCACTTGAATTGGAGATTCATCCAACAGAAGAACTTACAACAGGACAAATTTAAGATCGCAGAGAAGTGATGGAGAAAGGACTGAAATCAGGTAATATTTAGTGCAATGGAAAGCTTTAGCAATATATAATGCAACTTGAGAAAACCAATTGGTTTGGCAGAAGCAGCAGTTTCAAACTTATTTTTGGCAGAAAGCAAGGTAACATCATAGCCAAAAGCCATGAAACTAATCCCCCAAGACATAGAGATCACCAAAGTTTCCTCTCCCAACAAAGTCTTGTCCGAATGCAAACTTCTGAAGAAAGATGATCACAAGGCACCAGACCACCCAGAGAAAAATTATTTAGAGTTTATTCTAGGAAATAGGAATCAGTTGCAAAAAGCACTTTTTTTTGTTCAAAAAATGTTGGTTGTTGATATATATTAGTTTTTAGTCAGCTGTGGACTTAAACTGATGACCTCTCCCACCCCTGCCTGCAACTTTTACCACCAAACCAGCTTTATATTCCAAAATAATGTGTATTCAATAACAGCCATGTCAAGACCAAGTTTTAATAACGAGTGTAGTTTAAATAGCTTCCATTTAACAGTTTTTGTAGAAAATTAAGGGGTGGGGGATGTTAAGGGACAGTTATGTGATTGGTATTTTTCTCAACACTGGGACAGAAAAAAATTGATGTAACTTCTATAATCTGGTGTGGATTAATCCTAGTTTTATCATTTTCAAATTGTTCTACAACATTCTTTGGAAGAGATAAAACCATACCTTTGACATGTGTGATTCTAAAATCTGCTGTCTTCCTTTTACATCCGGATAGGGAACAATAACATGGCGGTCAAACCGCCCAGGTCTCACCAACGCCTTATCCAATGATTTTGGAAAATTAGTAGCACTAATCACAATTATGCCCTCATTTTGCTTAAATCCATCTAGCTCAACCAGTAACTGATTTAATGTCATCCTCATGTGCATTTGGTCCTTTGCATGTCGTCTTCCTCCAATAGCATCTATCTCATCAATGAATATTATAGAAGGTGCTCGCTTCCTTGCAGCAGAAAAAAGATCCCTCATCCTTCGGGCACCAACGCCAACATACATCTCTTCAAATTCACTTCCACTGCAGGAGAAGAATGGAACTCCAGCTTCACCAGCAATAGCTCTAGCCAACATTGTTTTTCCTGTACCAGGTGGACCAATTAGCAAAACTCCTTTTGGAAGCTTACCACCAAGACGAGTAAAGCGCTGTTACAAAGGAAACAAATCATATAATTACAAAGATGATAAGAAAATGTACAAGCCAGTATACGTGGTCAGGAAAGATTCATATAAAATATAACAGAAGAGTATGAAAAAGTGATGTGATATCAAGCAGAATCAAATATAATTCATGTACTGACTACCAAATAGGCCATTTAAGCAATTATCTTGGATATGCCACCCAATTTTAGATTCTCAGACGCAATCAGCAGTTCATCACCACTAATGGTAGTAGAAACAACTACTAAGAATATGTTAAAGTGTGTGGTTTTATTGATATTTGGTAGTTATCATCTTGAGGTAAGAATCTAAAGTGTGTGGTTTTATTGATATTTGGTAGTTATCATCTTGAGGTAAGAATCCAAATTCAGTTACCCAGTTTGCATCAGCACAAACTGCGCTATATATATTGATGTATTATAGGTATGTTGAAAGTCTCACATCGCCTACCTCATATCATTTGGTATGATTTAAATACATGTTAGGTTACTCCACATATTGCCAAATTGATTTTATGTTGGAACCTTAACATGGTATCAGAGCCAAAGCCTAACATCTTTCCGGTTATTGTCATGGGCCAAAAGTTGCCCTTTAGTTGGGTCAAAAGTACCCTTTGTCTGGTCCGGCAGGCTTCGTTGGAGGGGGTGTATTGAAAGTCCCACATCGCCTACCTCATGTCATTTGGTATGGTTTACATACATGTTAGGCTACTCCACATATTGCCAAATTGGTTTTATGTTGGAACCTTAACAAGATATACTGTAAGCTAAGGAACCAGGGTACCAACTAAATAGTGACAAAAGAATATTATTAAAAAAAGAAACATATTAGAGCGGGCATTACATCCAAGTTATTTGAGTTTTAGACATTATTATCCAAAGAAAATGATCCAATTCATTGACAAGTTTTTCTAATCTTTTACTTGAATCAAATGACCAGTCACTTTAGAACTACAAATTAGGAATTTCCATTGGTATCCCCAAGTCCACTGAGTAGGAGCTACATTACTTCAAGTGGCATTAAATCAATATCGGTATGAAGTAATCAACAAGATCACAATAGCCCAGGACATGTATCACTGAATATCGGTTAAATTGTTAAAATGTATATTATATCTACACATACAAAACAAGTCTTAGTGCTCAAAAGCATGGGTGCAAAGGGCTTGAAATGTATGCGACAGGGAGCATGAACTTATGCCAGAGATTCTACCTTAGGATCTCGAAGGTACTGAACAATTTCTTCCAGCTCATCCTTTGCCTCATCAACACCTTTTACATCACTAAACTTTGTGCTTGATTCTATGCTGGGTTGCACTTCTTCATTTATACCAAGTCCTGGGCAAAAAATAAACCAGAGAACATGCCTGCTAAATTCAGATTCAATCAAAAATGAATATGAACATATAATACTGACAAGGAAATACCTTTACTAATTCCTTTATCTTCAGCGAGTGCTCCTACACCAGAAACCAAGAAAAACACCACTACAATGGACCTTAGTGTACGCCATAGCTGATCTTTTATACTCGCACCTTCTCTAGCCACCATATGGATTGGATTACTAGCAGTGCCAATAGTGTTGTCTTTAGTCGACTTTCCTAGATTTCTTAAAGCAGAAAGACCAGCTACAGTTTCTTCCTCACTCACTGAATTAGACATGCCTGAAAATTCATATCACCTCTGGTCATAATTTATAGTCCAAAAATATGCTAGAGAAATAAATATCCAAAAAGCTGATGCAGTATGATTAATATCACTTTTGAGACAAGTATTAATTGTAGTGTCAATATTTGTCAATTGAATATATTTTGTGTTGCATAATTTTGTTCATGCAGTTGTATAAAATGAAACTTGTCCAATGACTCCATGAAAGGCCAAAAGAGGCATCATATTCCTGATTCTAAATTTAATCACAGAGAAAAACAACGTTCTTTATCAATCTGATTAATGGTGCAAGACATTAGTCAAATGTCATAATCCCTGGAAAGATTATTAGCCTGACAGTACAACCAGATAAATGGATTATTGACACTGTTAGAAATATAATAGATATTATCTCATTTCTGACAGGTACAAAGTATATAAAAGTACATCACAATTGACTGAACACAAAGCCTTATTTGCTGGTTTGAGAGAAACATATAAGTATAGAAGGATCAACCAACTGGTTCTATTATTTCAATAATACATTGAAACCTTGATGATTTTCCTCACAATTAAAGTCACAGAATGCATGTGCATTTAACATCAAATCCAAGCAGTCAGCAAATGAAGAGTTCTAAAATAAAATTATTGCCTTTGGACTTTTTCCTAATGTACAACCAGGAAAAATACTTCATTTTCATAGATCAGTCGGTAACCCAGCTTTCTAATAAAAAATATTAACACTTTGTTAATCAAACATCTTAAGTCAAGAAAACAACTGCATGGTCAGTGAATTCCAGCAGAAAATTTTTGACTATTTTGGTGCCCCTATGAAACATAATACCCTGGAAATAAAGCTTTGCACAAAAACCAAATATGGTTGCTTGCTTGGCAAAGTGCTAATTGAATAATGAATAAGATTAACAGGTTAGTAAACCAATATTGATTAGAAATATATGTCAAACAGACCAAATCACAAGCGTTGACAAATATAGGAATAAGTACCTCTCCTTAATGTCTTCAGTAATTCACTTTCATCAAGCCTATCAACTTTCACCAATGCTTTTACGTATTCAGAAAGAGCTGAGGGACTATTATGCAGAGATGGTTGACTTTCAAATACTCTAATCACAGCCTCAGGATCATTCTGATGGAAAAGTTCTTTGAGATAAGCAACTTCAGCGGCTTCATCTGCATCACGTGCTCGACGAGCAATACTGCCAAGGTAGCTAGACTGAAATCTCTCTTGGGCACCCAAAAGCCTATTCCCTACATAATTTTGAAATTGCAAAAAACAAAAGCTAAATGCCAAAAGGAACACAATATCTAGGTACTTTGAAGTTGAACATATACTGGAAAAGAAACAGGCATGAATAAATTCACAAAGAAACCAACGCACCCCCACCTCCCAAGGAAAAAAAAAATAGACAAAGATAAAAAAATTCCACAACACAAAGTATTGTTGAAAGTTAATTTCCAAATCAAAATTATTAGGTAAAAAACTAGAGATATATTAAGCAAGGCAAAACTTTTAACTTACATAGGCAAATAACATGAAGTCAGCTATAAGAATGATGCATGGTCTAGGTGGAAGGGATCTATACCTGCACGATCTCCAAACTTATTGACAGAAGAATAGCTTGTAGCAAACACACTTTGAATCTGTCTAAATTTGGATTGTCGTCTTGCAACCTGTAAAAGCAAATAATAAAAGTAACTAAATCATTGAAGAAATTCAAATATAGGTCATATATGCCAACTAGGGTTGTGTAAAAACTAGCAACATAATCAATAATGCCTACAACCGGCTTAATGAACCCAAGTTCAAGTTCTCATCTTTCCCTAGTGTCTTACACTTTTGTTTTTGATGTACAATGGTCAGGTTTTAACCTAGGACCTCGTAGAAATTACCAAAATCTCAAACATTAATAAAAACAATATAAGATGAATAATAATAAGTTAAAGACCAGCTGCTCAAAGCTGATACTTGAAACCTCCGCAGGTATTCATTCGTAAATCACAGACCAAAAAACTCCATACACACAAAGAACCACATAACCCAACAGGCTGAAATCGATAAGGATGCAATCTTCACTGCTCCTAAAAACTCCCGAAACATATAGACAACCATTTGCTATTACGCCTACAATGACCGGGGAAAAAATTATGCCTTTTCCCCCTATAGCAGAGAGGTATAAATTTTCTTCCCTTGAATCAATACTCCATTATCCATTAAACTAAAAGGAATCTAGAAAACGGATGAAGGAGAACAAGGTATGGAAATTAACAAGCTAATCCTATAAAAGGTCAAATTAGGGTTTCAGGAACAATAAAAAACAAGGGAAACATTGAAGAAGAACGTGCTCGATCGAGGAAAAAGAATCAACTTACCTGCGATATCAAAAGCCTCAAAGCCATGCTTGCGAAATAAGAGCCAAAATAAAAATGAAGTGGATTATATCTCTTTTTTTCGGCTATTGGCACTTATATAAGAAAGGGTTGTGACCCCTCGTCAAAAGTACGTCCCAAAGACTTTTTTTCTGAAATTCATATAAGAGAGAGATTTTTTTTTTCAATCAGGAGGCATAGGCCTGTCTTTCAGTAATTTCTGAGGAGTGTAGGATTCACGAACACAGTAATCGTAAACCCTTCGCTAGTTAGTGATTGATTTGGATCCCTTCCTTATCGAGAATTTATAGAAAATAGGAGTAACTTTTTGACATTTTAATGCGGTAAAAAGTGGCATCTACCCAAATTTAACGGTGGTCTTGAAAATAGTAAATATAAATTGTAAAAAGTAACTAAATCATTAAAAAGATAGACTGGTTTATTGATATGAGTTTTACAGCAGCCGAGTCCAATATGACACGATACTACGAAATCAAATAAAAAAAAATAATACTCTATTGCAGTTAAGTAAAAAAATATTAATTATTTATTTTGATTTATATTTTAAAATCGATCCTATTTTTAATTTAATCTAATTTTATATTAGATTAACTAGTTAATAGACTAATCTAACTTGATTAAAAGTTTAAAAATTATTTAAATAAATAATAAAAATATATTTTAAATTTAAATTATATTAATAAAATTAAATTTTATTTAATGATTTAATATATAAATTATAAGAAAAAATTCATTAAATATCAAAATAAAAATTAAAAACTTATCTTTTATTGTCATTATTAATTTTTTAGTAATTTATTTATCTAAAAGAGTAATTAATCTTAACTATTACATCAATACATAATCTAATATTTATTTTTAGAATAAATGAATCTCTTATCAAATTAATTTATAATACAAATAATATCACTTTAATTTTTATTTAAAAAATATATTATACTATAAAATGGGTTAACTTGTTACTCTACGGGTTAGCACAATGTAAGTCCATATAAACCATATCTTAAATGGATAAGATTAAAATAGGTGACATTCAATTTAGATTACAAATTTTTTTCTAATTTAACTTTTTTTATCTTTAGAGATATCCTATTGAACTAAACTTATCTTAACACCTTAGTCTTAAAATTTTATTTCACTTACTATTGTTGAAATATGTATTCATATATAAAATAATATTATTATAATATAATAAAAAAATAAATGGAAAATGAAATATTGTAAAACATAAAATTAAAAATAAGATTATTTAGTTGTAAAACAATGAAAATATGTAAATAAATGGAGTGGTGGAAGAAAGAGATAAAATAATAAGTACGTAATAAATTAATTAAAAATAATAATTTTAAAAAATAAAATAAATATAATAAATATTATTATCATAAATTACAATAAAAATTATAAATATAAAATATATTAGAGAATAAAAGATAAAAGATAAATGAAAATTAAAATAAGATAAAAATATAATAAAATTATTATTATTTAAAATTAACATAATGAAATAAAAAATATATATTTTATCTTTTATAAAAAAAATATTTAAAAATAATTAAAAATTTTGATCTTTAATTATTATTTTTTATTAAAATCCATCTAATCCAAAAATTCAATTTGTATTATTTTATTGACTTTTATCGTTTTAACTAAAATTTGATTATTTAAAAATAACTATCCCATCTCTAAATAGACTTTAAGTGTGTGATTCAATTTTTAAAATAATAATAATAAAAATGTACAATATCTTGAAATAAATATTACATTTTCTAGTTTGGAATTTTATTGTTTAATTTTTTTTCTACTTTTTCAACTATTTATTATTATACTTTATATGTTATTTTATTTTGAGTTTGATTGATGATTGCATTTGGAATTAATGTTTTATATGATATAACATTTATTAATTAGTTATATTTATGCAAAGAAGTTGTTACGATTGATCATTATTATTTTCTATATATTGAAGCTGAAGCTATTGACATTGGACAATTGATGTACTTAAGTACTTGTATGTTCATGACTTGATCTTATGGGTTTGCCTTGTTAGGCTACAACAATATGATTTTAACCTTTTTAATGATTTTAATTTATTATTCAACATATTTATTAGGTCTAAAGTAACATAATTTTATTATTATTGTATTTTAATTTAAAAGATAAAAATAAGGAGTCATCCTTTTGTAAAAGAAAAATTTACAATTAGAAATTAAAAATTATAAAAATTTATGTAAAAAAAATGATTCTGTTTGATTTAGTCTAGATTTTATTTTAAGATAAAATCAAATAAAATCCCGCAATATATTGGTTTAGATGTATTTTTAACCAAAAAAATCAAACCATGGTGAACACAAATACAAAAATGTGATAGGGAAGGGAAGCAAAAACAATAAATTTTATACTACTTCACCAAAATCACATGACTACATCCAGTTCTCAACCAAATGCAGTTGAGTTCCACTAATCAAGATCAATTAATTATAAGAAAAAACCAGTAGAATCACAATTTATCCCAAGAACCACAAACCATTTATCCCAAGAACCACAAAATAGTTCTTAAACCTATAAACCAACAACCACAATTTCAGATGTCCCATCAGTGTCCAAACTTTTAGACACCGAGAATACAAGAAACAAAATGAAATATTACAAACCTTGAAGAAACAAAAAAATCAAACAGTTATGCTAAAGCAAAAATACAGTCACAAGACAAGTTTCTTCAAGAAAAAAAACAAAAAACCTCAAGAACAATTTTCTCAAAGATTTTTAAAGTGTAAGACGCGTTTTTCTCTCAGAATGGTTCTTAAAAGATTGTTAGATTAATTTATCAAAAAGTCTATTTTAAAATGAAAGTGAGAATCTGTTTATATAGAAAAATTCTGAGGAGTACTAATTTGTCCTTTAATAGATTAAAATAACTAAAATCAGTTTTCAGCAAAACAAGTATAAGTTGATTTAACTAATAAAAACGTCATTTAATCGATTAAAAAGATTTTGTCCATTTTCTAGAGATTTCTAACTGATAAAAAAGGTAATTTAATCGATTAAAAATATTTTTTCCATTTTTTAGAGACATTTTAATTGATAAAAATGTGATTTAATTGATTAAAAGAACTTTGGAAATTTCCTTGAGAAGTTTTACCCGATAACATTGGTCATATATCAATTAAAACTGCGAACCAAAGTTTTCCAAAATTTAATCAAGAACATTTTTATAGGTTAAAAACTTCCTTAATCGATTAAAATTGCGAACCATGAAGTTCTTTAACTGTTTAAGTAAAACTAACATATTAAATTGAAAATATATCAGGTAAAAAACTTATTGAAGAACAAATTAACATATTAAAACAATTTTTAACAGATTAAAAATTCTTGAGACACTTTCTCTTTAACTTTTTAAAAGAGAAACTCATGCTTGAAGAAAGGATAATTGTTTATACCTAAGACACTTAATGCAAACACACTATAAACCTCAACAACAAATCATCTTCCTTTTGAGTTCATCAAATCTTCTGAAATCTCTCCCATAATCTTCATCAGTCTCCCCCTAGTTGATGAAGACAAACAACCTGAATCTTCAAAAATGAAATTTGTTGTGTGTGTTTGGTGAAATTAGTACATGTGTTATCCCTTTCAATCCTTTCTCCCCTTTTGACTTCATCAAAATAGGAAAAATCATGAATCAAGTTAAAAGATAGTTCACACAAGCAATTAATTAAAATCTAATGTTCTGGTTATACGAACTAGTTAAGAGTACATGCCAACAAAAAAATATAAAGAGAAAAAGAGATTGTTCAAGAGACAAAAATCATAAGATTATATGGCATAGCAACGTCTTAATCTTCCCATGGTCCTTGGTTGAATTGTAGGTCATCGAGCTTGTTATAGATGTCTCCTAACTAGTTGTTGATGTGGAGGAGTTGAGTGTTGGATTCTTGGTAGTGCTGGTAAGTCATCTGCATATGCTTCCTCTGATTTACCTACAAGGAAGCCATCTGAGACAATATCGTCCTCTCAGACTGAGATAATGGAGTCCCTCGATCAGGTTGTTCATTATAAGGTATCAACTCCATGTTCTAGAAAGCTCCAGTCATATCATCTGCTCCAATTATCTCTGGTTCTGCTGCAGCAACCTGAGATGTGCCTTCACCAGCATTTTCTTGCAGTGCATTTTTCTCTTCATCATCATCATCACTTATACCTGCTTCAACTTTCAAAATCCAATTTTCATCAATTTTAATGAAGTCCATCTTATGCAGTATGGAGTCATCAATCTCATTAGTGATCCTAGGCATTTCTTCATGTTCTCCTATAAAATTTGTTAGACAAATGGCATTTAGAGGGGGTGAATAGATGCACGAATTAAAATAGATGTCAAATTAAAAATTTATTTTAAGATGTCCAATATTTATTAATTCAATTTTAATTATCAAATTGAACAAAGATAAAGCGGAATCGATATGATAAGAGAGATAAAATATCAACAAGATAGAAAAAGATAGAGGTAAAAATAAGGGGTATAAGGAGAGTAATGCAGTGAAAAAGGGATAAGGGAAAGAGAAGAACACACAATGATTTATACTGGTTCGGGTATATCCAACCCTACATCTAGTTTTCAGTCAACTTTTAACACAAAAGTGACCCCAATTCATTATCTTTTAAATTCAGTTCACAAATTACAATCAACTCAGCAAAAAGTAAACTAATTCAAAAGGCAATCACCTCCTTAGAAACCCACTAAGGATGAACACCTCCCTAGATCCCACTAGGGATGAACACGTCTTCTGAACAAATCAAAGATGAAAATACCTCCTTAAAATCCCAATAAGAATGAACACCTCCCTAGAATCTCACTAGGAATGAACACCTCCTCTGAACAAATCAAATGATGAAAACACCTCCCTGAACAAATCAAAGGGATGAACAGTTTCCACACAGGAAACCCAAAAAAAAAACACACAATAGAATGATAGTGACTACTTAAACCCTAAACAGGGAATTTAACAATCAAC